TTCATTTCATGAAACCAGGACTTCCCCTATAATTGAACGACCTACCATTATAGGAAAATGTGTTTTCATGAAGAAATCATGACAAACTAACACGAAATGAAGATTTCATTTTAACTTGAAATCCTGACTTCGTTTCATGAAACCAGCGTTTCCCCTACAATAGAATGACCTACCATTATAGGAAAATGTGTTTTCATGAAGAAATCATGACAATCTAACACGAAATGAAGATTTCTTTATAATTTGAAATCCTGACTTCATTTCACGAAACCAGCGCTTCCCATGTAATAGAATGACCTACCATTATAGAAAATCGTGTTTATATGAAGAAATCATGACAAACTAACACAAAATGAAGATTTCATTATAACATGAAATCCTGACTTCATTTCATGAAACCAGCGCTTCCCATATAATAGAACAATCTACCATTATAGGAAAATGTGTTTATATGAAGAAATCATGACAAACTAACACAAAATGAAGATTTCTTTATAACATGAAATCCTGACTTCATTTCATTGAACCAGCGCTTCCCCTCCAGTAGAACGAGCTACCATTATAGGAAAATGTGTTAGCATGAAGAAATCATGACAAACTAACATGAAATGAAGATTTCTTTTTAACTTGAAATCCTGACTTCATTTCCTGAAACCAGCGCTTCCCCTATAACAGAACCACCTACCATTATAGGAAAATGTGTTTATATGAAGGAATCATGACAAACTAACGCGAAATGAAGATTTCTTTATAACTTGAAATCCTGACTTCATTTCATGAAACCAGCGCTTCCCATATAATAGAACGACCTACCATTATAGAAAATCGTGTTTATATGAAGAAATCATGACAAACTAACACAAAATGAAGATTTCATTATAACTTGAAATCCTGACTTCATTTCTTGAAACCAGCGCTTCCCCTATAATAGAACCTCCTACCATTATAGGAAAATGTGTTTATATGAAGAAATCATGACAAACTAACACGAAATGAAGATTTCTTTTTAACTTGAAATCCTGACTTCATTTCATGAAACCAGCGCTTCCCATTTAATAGAACGACCTACCATTATAGGAAAATGTGTTTATATGAAGAAATAATGACAAACTAACACGAAATGAAGACTTCTTTATAACTTGAAATCCTGACTTCATTTCATGAAACCAGGACTTCCCCTATAANCCGACTCCGACTCCAGGTACCCAAAATTGTCTCCGACTCCGACTCCACAGCCCTGGATACCATAGATCCCTTGGGCCTTCCCTACCCCCAGCTGATTCACCACCTGTGCAATCTGAGTGAGAACCATGGACCCAGAGATGTCCAACATCCTCGTCGGAAGGTCAGCTTTAAACAACTGCTCAAAGTCAAGGATGGATTACTGCACGGGCCTACCAGACCCAGGCGCCCAAGGGGGCCCTGAAGCCCAAACCTCCGCGCTACCATTTCACTATTGTTTTTACATATTATGCATCTCGATATCATATTGGGGCCCTTAAGCCATATAACACTGGTTATATTATTTATGTAATACGTCTTAATAGGGCCACTCCATCATATGCCACAAGTTTTGTAATTCATCCCTAATATACGAAAGGGGCCCCTCAATCAAATAGCATGGTGTGTGATATGTGATATAGGGCCCCTGAACCACAGGTTGTGTATGTTATTCATCCTTGGTATCGGAAAAGAGCCCCTCAATTAGGTTATATGTCATATGGGGCCCTGAAACACGGGTTATGTTAGTCATTTCCGGTATCTGGAAGGGCCCTTCAATTAAATAGCATGGGGTATGATATGTCATATGTCTTATTAGGGCCCCTGAACCACAGGTTGTTATTCACCCTTCATGTCTACAAGGGGCTTCTCAATCAAATAACGTGGGGTATTACATGTAAATGTCACATGTAGGCTACCCCTCTATCTGCTTCATTAGTGCGCAGGTCCAGGGCCGGTTCTGGAGGGGTAACAACCGGGGCGATTGCACCCGGGCCCAGTCTTGAGGGTGCGGGGAGCCCAGAAAAAAATAAAATAAAAATAAAGATTTCTCTCTGATCCTGCATTAAATGCATTGCTGAGTGCATGGCTTCCACACCATAGTCTAATTTGCCCTGCCACTGTCTAAATATGGAATGTAAAAAATATTTCCGCCAATGCAACACATACTGAAGTTCAAGTCAGTCTCTTCTGTTTGAATTACTTTTAATTAAAGTCCAAGTCGAATTAAAAATGAATTAAGGTCAAAGATGAAACAAGAACGTCTCTGCTGGCTTTCTCTGATGGCCATCGAGAGTGAGCTGACGAAGTCGTTGGACTTTGATGAAATTATACATGAATTTGCACAGCGCAAGATCTGGAAGAGAAGCATTTAATAAGTGGATAGAAATGAGCGATTTCTTGGTTGACATAAAGTTATTCCTAAGATATATGTTATATATTCGTTTCAGATCAGATTCTGTGCAAGTTATTTGTTCAAAAAGTGATGTTTCATGAATAAAAATGTAGTATCGTTTTTAGTGCAACCTTTGTACCGCTACTGACTTGTGTGCGTGCGTCGTTTTTTTGGGGGGGGCTTTCTCGTTGTCTGGCCCAGGGGCCCACGGACTCATAATCCGTCCCTGCTCAAAGTGGCTGGCCCAGCAGGTCACAACTGCAGTGTCATCTGTAAGCGCCGTTCCATCATATGCCCTGATTTTAATTTTCTGAGGAACAGATTCAGATGTACGTAATGTATAGCATTATGTAATATTAGTAGGACATAAAATCGCTATCTCAATTATGCGCATGAAAAGTAGATATAAAACAGTCAGATAGCACACCCCTGGAAATACATATCTAATATTTAGAAGTTACAGGGCCAATTTAGACTTTCCAATCAACCTGCCCTGCACGCTTTTGGACTGTGGGAGGAAACCAGGAACACTGGGAGAGTGTGCGAACTCCACACAAAAGGACCCACACACGACCCTGGGATCGAACTCAGGACCTTTTTGCTGTGAGGCAGGAGCGCTAACCACTGCACCACCACCCAGGATTTGTAACAACTGAAGCCAAATTAATAACAGAACCAATTTATTTATTTCAAAGTAATATAATATTTGACTGGGAATGTTTTACGATATTGATACTGAGGTACCAAAGCTGGTATCAGTATCAAAGGTAATATTTTGGTTTTGAGCGAACTCCAGCACACCAAGGTCAAGGTAATCTAAATAAAATACTTTACCAAATGCTAAATGCTAGGAGAAACCAACATGAAAATCCTTTACAAAACTCCATTTCAACCTTGACTGCACCCATTTATTTTAGTTATAAAGGTAAAGTGCATTCAGAAAGTATTCAGACCCATTGACATATTTGAATTTGATGTTACAGCATTATCCTAAAATCATTCAGATTCATTTGTATTGTGATGCCCAGACTTGGTTATCTATATAAATTCAGCATGTCCCTATCAAATTCAGTTGGTGGAGCATGCTACATACCACTGTTTTGTGCAGAAAGATACAGCCCAGTCACCACATCTTTTAGAAGAAGAGATATTGTGGATAAACAAGGTATAAAAAACAATGGTGGTGTGGCAGTACTTTTTACAATTTAAAGGCCCAAACATTTATTAAAAATTAGTATACACCAAGTGATAACGAAACAGCCCCTAGTCTTCGTTGTTCTAAACTGTCAGTTTTAGAATTATGGTGGCCACTGTGCTTTTGGGAAAATTCTGTAGCCTTCCCCAGATCTGTGGCTCTACATAACCTTCTCTCTGAGCTCTTCAGGCAATTACTTTGACTTCATGGCTTGCATTTTGCTCTGATATACATTATCATTAATGAGACCATTATATAGACAGTTATGTGCCTTTCCAAATCATGTCTAACCAGTTAAATTAACTACAGGTGCCAAAATAGGCATAGAAATATCTCAAAGAAATGGGATGACTTAAGCTAAATTACAAGTGTCAGAGCAAAAGGCATGAATACTTATGTCAATGTGATGTTTCAACGTTTTAATAAATTTGTACAAATATCTAAAATTCTGTTTTTACTTCGTCATTATCTGGTACTGAGTTAAGTCTGATAAGTAAAAAAAATATTATAGCATAAGACTGTAACATGGGAAAATGTGAAAAGTGATTGGTCTCAATATTCTAGACACCACTTCACCTAATTTCGGGTTTCTATAGAAATGGAGGAAACCATACTCTTTGAGGTAAAACATCTGGAGAACACGTGAACTCCGCCGACTCCCTAAGAGTGGTTATCGTGAAATAAGCAACAAGATATTATCCCTTTCTGTTTCCAAAAAATACAGATCGCTGCATTAACGCAAGGCCAGCCTTGAAAACACGATATGAACATTTGCGAGGTACGATGAAACCATATCAAGCAGCTACCATTCAAAACTTCAGAAGCTGTATCTCTGATCTACAGAGTAACTGGTTATGTCTGATAATGAAAACCACCGATACGAACGAAATTAAATGCACACGCTTACATAAGGACGCTTATTGCACCTAAAGTTTGAAGTGTCAAGTTGGCAATACAAATAGGCGCTGGAAGGGGGCGCGAAAGGATGCTTTTTGGGGTTGTTGTCAAGGAAACAGAAATAACCTACTGGAACAAGACCATTGCCAAAATGATGTTACATTTTGTCTAGCAACTGTCCATGTTCCCATTATTTTCCTGCTACGTCCTATTAATAATTTTCCAGTCGCATTTTAAATTAATTTCCAACGTAAAAGACAAGGGACTTAACAACTAGGCCTCAATCTTCTAAGACGCACGAGAGCCTTTTTGTTTCAGCAAAAAACATACTCAGATTAATAAACAAACAGAAAATATGACAACTGACTTACCCGTTTCTTTTGAAACTACAAAACCCTTTGTTACTTGACGACAATATCAATGTTACGTATAGCAGCAACTACAACGTTAAAGGACACTTTTTAGCTTGCACTCCGGAAAGGAAGTGAGGACAGAAAGAGAGCCCGCCTCCCGATGCATACTATTGGGTACTTCTCTTAACAGTTCCGTTTACCGCTTGAGTTAAACTACAAGAGTTTGGGAGATTGGCAATAAATTACATAGATGCGATAAAGCTGGACGGGCTTGGAACTGAACTGGAATTAAAGCACAGGCTGGATAATCCTTAATAGATAAGCAAAATAAAAAAACAACTCTTACAACAATTAAGTTAATGTATTTATTCGCTTTGACATTATATACAGCTACTCCACTTCTATTTCCTCGAAAACATACAATTGCTACAAAAATTGACATTACATGAGGGCTGAGAGCGGTACCGTGAAACTAGACTGAATAAGTAAGAACAATGAACCGGAAGTACTTCCGTTGTCATGGTTATAACAAAGCATTTTTCAAAGTAAAAAGTTACGTGCGTCTACGAGCTATCAAGGTGATTTGCGGCTTCATATTGGATCTGCAGGTTTGTCGTGTGAATTGAAGGTAAATTTTTATATGATATACTTCACATATTTATATATACATTTGCTTATTCGTTTACAATTGACGTATTAATTAAAATGAAAAAATATATTTCGTCTTTAATATTTTGCATTTGACAGATTTATGGAATTGTAAATTCAATTTTAACTGGATTACGGTGTTATCTCAGAACGTGGTTTTCTCACAAAACCTCTATTCCGGAGATTGTTGATCGAGGAAAGAAGGTGAAGCGTCTCGTTCACCACTAAACTACAGCAGAAATACTTGAACCTCAGGGCCAATATCAATGATTAAGTAACGATGTTTATGCTTTTTATACTTTTACGCACAACTTTTTTTGCCAGTTTTTGAGCTGATTTTTGTAAACATTCAGTAAACGGTATTCTCCATAAGCGAATAAATAATGGCTGTGGTATAGTAAGACATAATTTCTTTGGAAAAAAATTGATTGAACAGTTACACTTCCCGAAATAAGAATTATAATACAGTGGTACCTCAGAACACGAACTTAATCCGTTCAGAACTCCGGATAGAATCCTAAAAAGTTCTAGTTCTGATCGAATTTTCCCCATAAGAAATAATGGAAAACCAATTAATTGGTTCTCGGCCCCCAAAAAAATTACACCTAAATATGTTTATTTATGTGTATTTTTTTTAGCATTTAAACATAAAATGAACCGGATAAAACAAGAAGAGCATATACTGCACTAAACACATCTAAGCAAATTAATCAAAACAGTAATTTGTAAAGTAAGAAAATAAATGTATACAAACAATGTGTAAAGTTTAAAAAAAAAACCCAATGTGTCCTGCCCCAATCGTCCTCTCCTTCCGTGTGCCACGCCCCCTCGTTAACCTCGTGTGGAATCCCCGTGTGATCAGCTGTTTCTGGTTGTTGTCATTAGCAGGGCTGTGGAGTCGGTAGATAAATGCTCCGACTCC